TTCCCACCCACCCAAAAATAAAAAATAAAAAATAAAATCAATTTTTTTTAAAGAAATAGTTAAAAAAAAATTCACACACCTCCACTTCCACCCTACCTCCACGGATCCGGACCCCCCTCCAACCCCTCCTACATAATTTTTTAAAGGGAAAAAGGTCTGAAATATATCTAAACTTTGACCGAAATTGTTGTTACGATACCAAACTTTATGGAGGACCTTTTACCCCTGCACTATTTAATAGTGTATTTTAAAGGTATATATGTGCTCACATGGACATCAAAAATATTGCATCATTATAAATAGTATTGTGTCCACGTGGGCACATATATACCTTTAAAATACACTATTAAATAGTGCAGGGGTAAAAGGTCCTCCATAAAGTTTGGTATCGTAACAACAATTTCGGCTAAATTTGGAGTATTTTTTAGACCCTTTTCCCTTTTTTAAAAGAAAAAAATTCACCCTAACCACCTAATGTTTTAAAAAAAAATATATATATATATATATTTTTAGTGCAATTAAGGATTTTTTATTATGAGCGGGTAAATCTAAAATAAATAAATAAATTATGAGTGGGTAACCCATGAATTTTCATATTTTTCTCATTTTGTCCATGTTTGTATAAGCACTAAAAATAGATTAGCTTATATTTACGTATTTAGGAAATATGAGTGATCAATTTAAATAAATATGATTAAAATAACTCTATTCTTTTTATATGGGATGAAATTATCACCCCTATTTCTAATGTTGGACGTGGAAGATAGTAAGTACCTAATAAAATAGTAAAGGTACGGAACGAAATACCAAAGATATTTTGAAAAATAATGTAATAGACATAAAGAGATGTAGCAAAATTATAAGTAATTTACATGCATACCCATTCATCAGGATTGGCAGTAACCACATCCAGATGCATTCCAACAAAAGATACAACTTTTTTTGGGTCAGTACCAGGATACTCCACAATAAGATTACCCCTATTAGGAGTATAAACAATATGATTGATGATCAGTGGTCCGCCATTGTTGGTGCTAAATGGATTAAGGATATCAAGAACATGTTTCACATTCCTGTCTTCCTCCGGGATAAGCTCCGGTGGGTTGTTCTGTACATATTTCGACTCGCCGATCAGTTTCTTCAAAAGAGTTACGAATGAATCCTCATTTAGATCGCCCAAAATCTGCTTTACATCAGCCATGCTAATAATATGGGAACGCAAGTGCTAAGCTCACGCTTTTCTTTTCACAAAGTTTGATATGGTAGTTGGTACATACCAATACTGGAGTTGTTCATATTATATAGTAACATAATATTTTTAGCTTTTACCATATTGTGATAAAATAATCCATGTCCACATAATACATTTCGTGTAAAACGTGGTATGTCTTAATTATTTGTTTACTATATTAAAAATAGTTGATAAAATGATCCCAATCATTTACTGCTTTTTACTCTCTTTGTAAATTCAATAGTGGACAAGTATTGTTAGACAACAGGAGAGGGAAAGTATTTTTGTCCAGTTTGAAAAACCAACAGATAATTTGCCATTTTGTGTTCTATTTTACTCTTGTTATTAAATACTATTCGATCTAAAATATATTTCTCAAAGAATTATATTTAAAAGATAATATAATAATGTTATTCCTATTATTTATTATTTCTAAAGGTTTATGTCAAGTTAATAATGAACAAGAGGGAGTATATTTTTAGCTTGGATATTATTGTAAATGTCATGTCCACACAATATATTTTGAATATGTTTTGTGTTGTACAATGGTGGGGGCTGTAATGAATATACACACCATATAAATGTGTTGTAATATGAGTGTTGTATATATTGAAACGTATACATAATTTATTTATTTTTTATTTAAATCAGTGTAATATTTTGATGAAAGGGTATTGGTTGATAAAACGTTAACTTTTTAATGATTTCATACTAAAAAAAATAATCAGGTTATTGATTCAGTTTTGATTTTTAATATTATATTATTGGATAAATTGATAACTCGTTAAGAATGTAGTAATTTATTACTTTATCCCAATATAAATTTTAACTATTAACCTTAGTACCTTACGTTAGCCTTTCTCCTTTAGCCTTCAATTTATACTTCATAGTGACTTAGAGTTCACAGTTTCATATTATATAAAACTTTAATACCTAAAGTAAAATCTTTATTCCTTTCTTAATTATTATTTTTTGTTGTTGCACTTGTATAGTTCTTTTCATGTTAGTTGTTGATGTTTCTAACGATTGAATTTTATCTCTGTTTTCTATTATTATCTTATTACTTCCTCCGTTCATTTTTACTTGTCACTAGTTAGTTTAACACACCCATTAAGAAAATAATTATTAATATATGTATTTTACTAAACTATCCCTATTAAATGATGTTAAGTATTAAATTTTAGAAAAGAATTTGGAGAAAAATATTTAATACAAAGGATAAATCATGAAAAAAATAATTACTGAAAAACTGAAAGTATTCATCTTCTAAAAACTATTTATTTTAGCATATAAAATAAAAAGACTAGAGAATATTTGACCAACAATAATATATTCTTTCAACTTGCTTCTATTTCTACCAGGATAGGATGTGCAGATTTCTTTAGGAAGAGAAAGAAAGACAATTTCATAGTCCTTCTGAAATAGGCAATTTCAAGGACGGTTAATTAATTGCAGATAAAAATCATTTTCAACGTAGTGAAGTGTGGATATTGCTTGAGTTTCTGAGTTGAGAAAGTTTTTGCATGTAGATCATCAATTGTGTTGTCACAAGAATGAGGAGATGCACATGGAGCGTAGATAAATTAATAGAAGTAATGTGACATCTCTTTTAAATTAAATAAATTAGCATTGATACCAATTGAACCTTCTCGAACTCTTTCTTTTTTAAGAACCAAAAAAGATTTTGTGCCAAAATAACAGATGCCAAGAAGAACAAAAGTATTTATCTTTTCTTTTACTAAATTTTTAATCTTTTTTATTTATTTTTCACCTAAAAATATTGATTATAATTAAATAAACACCCAATATTAATATCTTCTCTTGAATTTATTTTATTAATTTCTTTATGATTAAAATTAATCACTATGTGCGACATTGTAGAACAACAAAGAGGAAAAAGTTTTGAAGAATGCTTATTTTCAAAAAATCCATGGATATATGGCTTTATATCAGTTTCTTTCATTAATTACTTATTATTATAATTTACTTGTATGGATGTTATAAACTAGGCTTAGAAGAGGTGCGGTGAATTTAAAATTAAGAATGATATTTGTCCTCTTTTTTCAATTTTTTTTATATTCCTAATAGAAAACCTAAAAATAATTATTAATGGTAGTAGGTACCAATATGACAATTGTTCATATTATATTAAATCATATTTTTGGCATTTTCGATACTGTTGCAACATCCATGTCCACATAATATATGTAGTGTAAAACGTGTTATACATTATACAATACTTCCTCGATTTATCTTTATTTGTTCACTATATTAAAAATAGTTGTTCAATAATATTTATTCAATTTAAAAAATTAAGAGATAATTTATTTTTTTATAATTATTTTATCGTTACTATTAAATATTAATCAATGCCTAATATATATCACATCAAATTTAATATATTCAAAGAGCAATATATTTATTGTAATAGGGGTTGGTATTCCTTACTTATAGCTTAATTTAGTATAGTTAACCTTTTTCTTTCAACTTTTTAATATTCTTATTAATAGAAAAACTAAAAATTATATGGCAGTAGGTACCACCGTACCAATATGAGAATTCTTCATATTATATTAGAGAAAACACATAAAGTCACCACTGAAGTTGTCTCGAATTTTCAAAAAGACACCTTAATTTTGTGGGTGTCCTATTTACTAATTGAACAATTTAAGAGTTATAAATATCTCACTTTTCACCCAACCTCAATTGCAAGAAAAGAAGTGCAATCACGCACCAATTGTTGTTTGCCTCGTATTAAATTCTTTTTATTTTTAATTTTTAGTTTCATTTTCATTTTCATTTTTTCTATTTTTATTAACTTTATTTTCATTTTTTCCCTCTTTCTTCTTCAACCTTCATTACTCAAATCCTTTGTTCTTTGCTGTAAATCCTCCAAAAGTAGCAGTCATTGTCGCCTTCAACGTAGCCTCCATGATGCTTCCCTGTTACAGCACTATTTTCGCCACTAAAACATCACTAAAAAAAATCAACTCTCTATTGGGTTATGAAAGGTGTGATTAGGGCGTCATGCGGAAGCTTACAATTTGCAAATCATATAGTTGATAAATCAGATAACAAAAACTTATACTAAAAATCAAAATATTATTATATCAAAACTAATATAAAGAAAAACATTGAAACTTTAGAGAGAATAAATCTCCCCATAAATAAGACTCTTAAACGACTACATTGTGGATGTTATTGTTGTTGTGTTAGAAGAAACAAACCTATATTTATAAAGTTCAAAACCTTTCCTACTAGAAAAGAACTAGTTACTCCAAAACCTTTTTCCTAAAAGGAAAGAATAAACCAAATATGAAAGAATATTATATTTTCTTTTCAGGAAAAGTAAAAATATTTATGGTAATGTTTTTTTCTTTTCTTTAAAGAAAAATAAATCTTAAATTATGGTAAGAAAATCAGGGCAAAATCCTAACACTCTCAAGTTACTAAAGCAAGGTAATGGAGTTCTATATTCAGACAAACAATAAGAATAAAAATGGAGTTTCATAGTACTCTCTAATCAATCGAATAATGAAGTTTACATTTATTTTTTTGTTCTTTTTTTTTAAAAAAAAAAAGAGGATAAAAGAAGAAAAAGAAACAAAGAAAAGCAAGAGACAAGAAAAAAAGTAGGTAAAAATGGATGAAGTAAATGGATCTTCTAAGTTGAAGAAGACGAAGAAAAGGTAATTGGGTTTTTGAATTTGGGGGAAGAAGATAATGGAAAAGAATGAATTCGTCAAAGAGAGAGCACCAACGTTGAGCTTGCTTTGGAAAAAAAGTTCAAATCGATTTTAGGGCTACCAACGGCTCTTTTCTCTTTAAATTTGGGGAAGATGATATAAATTAATTAAATTATTAATAATAAAGAAATAAAACGACATGTGGCACTTTATAGTTGGTTATGGCAGTGAAAACACTGCCTCACGCGCCTCATGTGCGTAGTAACAACCCAGATGAAGAAATGGGTCAAAATGACCCATTTACAAAGATATTAAATAGTTCTATGGGGTGATAGGACACTTCCAAAGTTGAGGTGTCTTTATGCAAATACGGAACAACTTTAGTGGTGATTTTATGTCTTTTCTCTATTATATTACATCATATTTTTTGCTTTTTCGATATTGTTGTCAAATCCTATCTTCACATGATATATTTTGTGTAAAACATGTTGTACAATATTCCTAGCGTTCATATTTATTTGTTCACTATATTAAAAGTAATTGTTTAATAATATTTGTCCAATTTAGAAAATCAAAAGATATTTTATCCTTTTGTATTTATTTTACTCTTATTATTAAATACTATTCATTATCTAATATATTTCTCAATTCATTAAATTTAACATATTTAAAAGGTAATTTAATAATATTATCCCTATTATTTATTGTTTCTTAAAGTATGTATCAAATTTATAGTGAACAACTGCTATTGAATTGGGAGAGCAGATTTTTAGCTTGGATATTATTGTAAAAATGTCATGTCCACACAATTATATTTTGAATATATTTTATGTTATACAATGTTGGGGCTATAATGAATATACACAATATAAATGTGTTGTAACACATATACATAATAAGATATTTTTATGGAAAAATTACCAAACACCACACATTTTTTTATCATATATTTTTATTTTTCCTACCGTTTCAAAAAATATCAAAAATATCCTCTTTTGCTTGCATCATCGCCTTTTTCGGATAAATCAATTTGAAAGCTCATACTCATGATTTTGCTTCCTTTTTTCACGTCACAAATCTCTTCACAGTTACCTTCATTGATCCATTTTTGAATTTCATTTTTTCTTTCCAATTAATGATTTCAAGTTATTCAAAAGGCAGATCTCTTTCCATCACTTCAATTTTTGATTTTTTTTAAAAGAAAATTAGTTTTTTCATCTTAAAAAATTGTTGATACGTATAGATGAAGGTCGATCTGTCAATATTGGGCTTACCCAATTAGTCCGAGAAGGATACATCTTCAACTTCTAAAACGACTATGGAAAAAACACTCAAAAAAGGGGAAAAGGTCCAGATGGTGGTGGCTCTGGTAAGGGCTTTGGATCGAGATCCATAGGTGACGCCATTTGTTGACACTGAAAAAAAGATACGAGAGTTGATAAAGAGCAAAGGAGGATTTATTCGTCAGTTTTTTTTTGCTTTCTGCAGATCAGATTGTTGACTTTTTTTCCGACTTTTTGGTTGTTCATCTTTTCTGATACATATGGATTCAAATTTTTAATGTATCTAGTTGATTTTGTTTCTTAAACTAATGTATAATGCCTCCGTTTCAACATTATGATACATTACAATTTTATCATGCATAATGTATCGTGTTCAAATATTAGTTTTGATACATAACCTTTATCAGTATTGATACTTGATACAAAAATTTGTACCAAATGTATCATTTATCATGTATCAGCTTTTTCATCTACAATTTTTTGATACATATGGATTTTGCTCCCTCTTTTAGTATTGGGCTTATCCAATTTGATTGAGGATGAAATTTTTTATCAAAATAGATCGAAACAACCCATTAAACATGAAGAATTTGAGAGTGTAGAAGTCGAAGAAGGATGCATGCTCGAGTTCTAAATCTACTGTCGAAAAACACCTATAAAAAAGAAGGGAGAAGTTGGATCTTCCATTGCACGGCCATCACTATCAAAGATACATATTTTCAATGTATCATTAGTCTTTGTTAGTGTTATCACTAATCTAATACATCACTGCTACAATAACCTTTGTTTTATGTAATGTATCATGTTCCATATTTGTTGCAGATCCAACAATAGGTATATTTTACATATCAGTGGCAATTACTATCAGATACATACACCCAAACTTATTCATCTATTATACGTCTGTACACATTACCCAATAAATACACTTGATACATAAACTCTAATGTTCAATAGCTAAAACGTTGTGTATCAAATTAATTGATATGTATATGATACATGATACATGTCAAATTCAATAGTTCTTACTTTAAGTTTTGACGTTTTGATATGTTCTTACTGGATACACTTTCGATTTCAAAATTTTAAAACTGTAACCGAATATAATTCAACTATTCACAAAGTAAGATTCATACTAAATTATCTAAAGATACTATCACTTATAATGACTTACTTGAGAAATTGTTTTCTACTTCTCACGCTTGGATATACATTGTTATAAATCGAACTAAGAATCTTTTTTATTTTCACTAAGGGTGTGTTTGGTATAGAGGAAAATATTTTTTAATATTTTTATGTTGGATTAGTCAAAAATATTTTCTCTAGGAAAACAAGCTTCTTAAAAATGAGTAAAATAACTTCCTCAATGGAAGTAGGAAAACAAGTTATGTTACATAATGACATTTTAAGTTTATTATCTCCTCCCTATCCACCCAATCTCTACCCCTTGACCATCCCACCGCCACCACCCTCAAACCCCTACTCAACTGTCTCATTCCGACTTCATAGTATTTTGCTAGTAACATATAAATATTTTTGAACTAATATTTTCTTATTTACTTACCAAACACTAGAAAATAAGTAAGAAACTTTTGACAAATCATTTTGCTTCATACCAAACACCCATGTTTAATTAAATATATATTTAGTTTTACAAAGTGTTTAGATTTAGTTATTAATTTATATCCCAAGCTTGCTAGATTTGTTAGCCAATTGAACTTGTATCCAATCTAAGTCTAGATGGTGCCTTATAGTGTAACACTTAATTAGGAATATCCAGTTGAAGTGACTTCTTTTGTTTTCCCTGAGCAAAAGGTAAATAGGAGAAAAATATTAGAAAGCTCAAATTAATTAATTTAAACATATAAAAAATGCTATGAATGATATTGGGCATGGACCAAATGAGAGTGATGGGCAAGAAAATTGCATATGGGTTAATGAGTTTAGCTTTCAGAATGTGTGAAAAGGTTACAACATAGAATAGTCCTAGATACTAGAGATATGTCAATATTGTTGTAAAAAAAGTAAAATCTGTCAAGCTTCTAAAAGAAAGTGAAGCAAACATAGCTACTATATCTACTCAACATATTTGACATTTGACACATTGCAATTGAGATATTTGTGCATTTTTTTGTCTAAAAATATTAGGCAAAATTAGCAAACTAGTCACAATCTCTAACATAATTATTAAAAATATCTACTAAAAATGTCAATATGTCAATATTTTAAAAAATAAATTGTATCCTAATATAAGTAATCTTCTATCCTTTTATTTCTCAAATCAAGCCTTTTTTACTCCATCATACAGTAAAAAAAAATTAAAAAAAATAATCCCACTACCCACTTATTCCTCTTTCTAGGTTTTACCCCAAATCCCTCCTTTCAAGTCTTCGAATTTCCTACACTTTTTTCAATAAATCTCGCAATTAATTCAAAAGATTTTTCACCCATTGATAAAGGTAAATTCGAAGTCAACAAGTATTTTAAGAGATTTCTTGTGATTTTGTTTTTCATATTCACCAAATATTTTGTATTTCGATTTTCCTCCTTTTAAACAGTATTATTCGATTTTTTATGAGTTTGTTTTCATATTCACCAAGCATTTTGTGACATTTCCCTCATTTATGTATTTCAGATTTTTCGTCTTTAAAACACTATTATTCGATTTCTTTGTGATTTTGTTTTCATATTTGAGATTCAATAGATTGTAGTAATCTATATTGACATTCATACATCATAAATTGTTTGATGTTTTATACATTCATATTTAATAATTTCGAATTTTGCTTATAGGGTCACTAATGCACAAGTGAATACGGATTCAAATTTGGATTTGGTGAACAAAAAATCAAAAAAAAGGAATATAGCAGACGAAGAAGAAAAAGAAGAAGAAAGAGAGTTAGAGAAGAAAATTGCAAAAAATGTAATCATAATAATTTTTGTTTATCAATTGTTTTTCTTTTACTCGGCATTTGTATTTTTATTAAGAACATTATATTTCTTTTTTAGTTTGCAGTCATTCCAATAGGTATGCCAAATGTATTTGTGTTTCTTAACCATAGATGTATCTTTTTTTTCACGATCAATGTATATTTCCACCATGTATGCCATTTTTTTTTCCAGAATCTTGTATCATTTCATAAATCATATTCTAATGATTAGATTATATTGAGATACAATTAGTAATGTCTTTCCAATACAAATAAAAGAAGAATATATTTGGCAATATGTTCCACTTTTTGATGTTCTTAATTTCACCATCCATGATTAAGAACATGATTTTGGAGAAAAATGGAGATTGATTTAAGTGATATATTCCTTTTTTAAATATTCTCTCCCCAGATTTTCTCATTTCTGTTATTAAATAATTGTATTCTTTCAAATCAAACAAATAAAAAAAAAATACATAAATCAAATACATAACAAATTAAAATATTGACATTTTAAATAAATATTAAAAATGTGGCTAAGAGATCTTATTAAATATCAAAATATTGACATTTTGAAAATTTTCCCAAAAAATTAATTAGACAAAAACATAACTACAGGCAAGCTATGACATTTTAGGGAGTGGGAATTGCCAGAAGTCCACTTTTTGGATACAGTATGATCCCTTATACAATACTTATGATTTAGACGTCCAATAAAATTGGAACGATACACAGAAAATTAGAATGACCCCTACGCAAGGATAACATGCATAAATCGAGAAATGGTCCAATTTTTTATTTATTTAGAAATGTGACTCAAAAGAATGGAATGTTATCCGCGTCACCAGGGTGAACATAACGTACAGGGGTTAAAAGTCATTTGACGGTAACAAAAAGGGTCGACTCAATACTCTTGTACGGTCACTCAGCTAATAGTGATTATCATCTCAGAAAAGTAAGAACTTTTAAATTTCTTAAACCACCTTTGTAGAGAAAATGAACACTTGGAAAGAGTGACAAGAAGCAGAGTCAAGATTTCAAGTGATTATTTTCTGCAGCTAGACGTTCTACAAGATGCATCTTTTCACAAAGAGTTACTTCTCTTGTCCAAAAGATGCATACAATTTTGAATCACTCAAAAGTAAAACTAACAAAGGATTCCATTATGTTTTTCTTGAAACAAGAGTCATGTAGAGTACAATGGTTTTGATTTCTCAATCTCTGTCTAGTACGCGGAAAGCAAGCAGAAATGTTTGTATATCTCATCAATCTAGTGGTTCTAAGTGAAGGGTTGCGGAATCAAAAACTGCAATAACCAGCCTAACATAAGTGAATCTCAGCTGAAACAAATTGGATGTTAAGGACAAAATAGAGCAAACTATTTCACAGATTCTGAACGCGCAATACACCAACCTAGGTGGCTATAGGAAGAATAATGACAAACAAATGATACTGTAATGCTGGGGATTTACTTTTAACAAGTTAAAATTGACTTCAAATATAAGTTAAAAGGTCATTTCAAGTATTTAGATTAGTCACAGATTCAACAAAGAACAAGCACTATTATAGCAGGAGTCATCAGCAAAGAGATCTACTTTTCATGTATTATATCGAAAACCTAATTCTGTCAACCAGTCTCTGAATTGTGATGTAATCAAACCTCATATATATCAATCTTCCAACTGTGCGATGATGCTTGCAAAGACCCGGTAACCTTGGCACATGTCAGACAGTAGACAGTATTCATTCTTTGCATGGTATGTAGCCATTAAGCCTGCATTTCAAAAAGTTCACATTCGAACAGAAGTTTATTAGACTCAATTAATAACAAGAAAGAAGAATTAGACAATATTAACAAGGAAATGAATTACACAGAATAATTTTAAGCAAATGCAACTGTATCAAAGTAAGAAAATATGTTACAGATATCGATAAAAGCATCTTCAGACAACCATTCCAGTTAGAAATATTATAATACATGCCGACAATCTATGAAGGGTCTTAGCTATAGGCTGAACAGAGCTCCGCTAATGAGTTGGAGTAGGGATTTTATACATGGAAATGATGTACACATATTCATGCTAATGATACCTCGATTCTATGAGCTGAAGATACCTTGGTTCTTTGTGACGCAGTTCAGAATATGTAAGGCACTGGAGGGTGATTTTTGAAGCTATATCTGGTATAAAAATGGTAAAAAGTCACATCTTCCCAATCAATAATACTCTGGACGCACAAGGGAGCTTGCCAAGCATATATTCGGCTTATCCATCAGGAGCTAAATCCAAATCTAAAAGGATGTGACAAGAGATGGTGCAAATTTTGAGAAGCTCTCCAGCTAGAAAAAAACAGTTTTGGCAATTTCTCTTTTGAGGAAAGAGAAACTTTGACTAACAATAGGCCGTGCATCACCAACTCAGGATATCCTTATACCCAATGCTAAAAAAGGTGAAGAGAAAGGTCAAAACAAACGAAAGGGATAAGGAATATGTTAAAATGCACCCGTCTCCTTCATAGTTAGGCATGCAGTTCAGACAATATTTGCACTCCTAGTTTTTAATCATTGAACATTTACTACTCAAGCTTATCAACACCAACTAATACCCAATTGGAAGTTTGAAATTGTGGTTCAAAACAGAAAAAGTCAGAAGGATTAGTCACACAAGCTTGCGTCCAAGTTGATGATTGCAACTGGCAAGTAATGTTTTCATTGTATATCTAGAAACATAACCAGTCCTGATAGTATTGTCTTATTCATTCAGAAAATCACTAAATTTAACTCTAACAAAGGAAAGTAGGAAACAGAGAATGATGAAACTACAAAAACAGAAATTGTACCGTAGCCAGAAGTTTGAACATCAAAACCCTCATCCTGCCAACAAATAATGAATAAGATATTGCAAAGTTGAGATTTGAGAAGACCAAACAAGTAAATTTGAAAAAAAGTTATGCACCTGTAGATCTCTTATCAATGGCAAAGTACCGGTTATAGAATATGGTTTTACATGCCCAACTTCCTCTTTGGTAGCTTTGCATAGTACATGAAATCCCCGAGAATTGAGATCACAAGCAACTCCAGACGAAGCTTCGTCGAAACTTATAGTGATTCTGGTGGGGATTAAAGTGGAAAATTAATTACTAATGAAAAGTTAGAAGAAAAAAATGGTGAGATGAACTATGGAAGAAATTACTTGATCTCTAGTTTTTATGGAAAATTCCCAGTAATCATCTGATTTCTCATCTTTTCAAAGAGGAGTATAGCGTACCTTCCCCTTAAGTTCTCATCTGGCAGAACATATTTTGAAACAGGGCCTCGACCATCAAGTTTTTCAATGTTGGCATTCAAGTCATCAACATATTCTTGTAATTTCTTCATAGCATCTGATACACTGAACAAAGATGCATTGTTAGAATTCCTACTATTTTCAAGAGATTCGGCTGTTCATTTCCTGTTTTGAAACAGAAGTTCAAAATTATTGATTTTGCAGAGATTGAAAAATGCCACATACAAAGAGAGACATAACTAAAATTCCAGATAAAAAAAAGAACAAAACACATACTTGTAAAATGGAGTCAACCTGCAAAGAAACAGATGTGATTAGATATCACCATTTGATGAAAGATCTCAAGGAGGCTTTGAAGAAGAAACTTACCTAACATCTCCAGAAACAGTGCACTCACCAGGAATTTGGTTGATTCCACCCCCAGGATCTGTGTGAGCGAATAATTTAGCACATAAAAACAACTGGAGAAAATAAGCTCAAAATTTTCAAATTCATCCTACTAAGACTTGAGAACTTACAAAACCACTGAGTTGGTTTCATGGTTGATGGTGTAGCAAATTCATAGACTTGTTCTTTAGGATGCGCAGGGAAATCTATATAGAAGCGGGACTGAATTTCTTTGAGTGCTTCCATAGCAAGCTCCAGAGGATTGATAGCCTAACCATTTGCCATAAATGTCGTACAAAGTTACAAACACATTGGAGTATTAAAAGGTTTCAACAAAGAGAAAAGGTATCCATGTTTACTGTTTTCCAGAACATAAAGTTGTATTGATCCAAGGAGGTTTCGTGAGTAAAATAGATATGCTAGAGGGAGAAAGGTAGCTCTCCCTTCTCTCTAGTTCAAACTCAACTGAAGAGCCTCTGTTTTTGGTCAATCATTCAATTCTAGTGATTGAGTAAATAATACTTAGTCAGTGCATTAATGGATAGCAGAATATATTTTCATTGCAGGTCACAAGTCTTATGACATCACAGAGAGCCAGTCCAAGTAAGAATTCAGAAACTTCGTATGAGTGGGTCGAGCACAGAGATAAACTCAACTAGCAGATTGAATATTACCAGAAACTTGCTTCTCTGGTTGTGTCAATTACTCTACTTGGCTTCCATGGTACCAGACTCAGGAAATGGAAGTTCAAAGGAACAAGCATATGTATATTTCTGCTCCTAGAAGTTAAACAAATATAGGAGGTTCCTTAGTTTTGTGGTATTACAATGGTCTAGATGATCATCCCTCTTACTTCAAGAAAATGATAGCGGATGGGATGATCTAGCAAATAAACTGAAAAATTCATGGATAACGGCTATTCACTTCCATCAGAGCCTGATTTCCCAAATTGCAGAGCACATATGCTGATGCTGTAAAGAAGAGCAGGTGGCTTTCTAAAGAGCCCAAGCATAGTCATGTACAGTAGGACAGCATAACAAAAATCAGAGAATCACTGATCCATGAGAAGAGGACCTTCTGGGAAGATGCATTGTAGGTAGATTTGATGGTGAGGCTAACATAGGTACCAACAAGTTCAGATGTGAGCAGATGGGTACATACAATTGGCACTCTCCACCAGGGATTCAAGTTTATGAAAGAAGTGGATGTCAATTTCTTTTCCTCCGGAAAGAGATGCCGATCACTTCTATAGGAAATGGGAAAAAACTCATTTGAAACTCAAGTTTCAGACATCTGGGTGTGCTCCGATAGAATTTGAATGTGAATGGGTGTACAATGCCTTTATTTTTATTGGTGGATTAGATTACATGGTCTTTTTGAAACTGAAAATAGATTACATGGTCTTCCACTCCATTTATCCTCAAAATACATAATGAAGGCAATTGGGGGAATATAACAACAGAGTCAGATAGGCCCGAATCAGAGTTAGAGAATGCAAAAATTGTTCACTCTATTCCTTTTTTCTGCACTTCAAAAGTTAATTTGAATGCAAAAACTAAATGTGGGGGAGCAGTTGTTAAAGAAAGGTGAAAGCGTGATTGTTGAGCTTGTTGTGTTTTTTGAGAATGTTGTCATGTGAATTAAAGCAAAAAAAATTGTTGTCTTGAGGTCTAAAAAAAGGGAAAAGCAACAAAGAAAGTTGACACACATTTTTAATCAAACAAGGAAAATTGTGAAAAGGGTTAGAAAAAGGTTGTTGTGCTTAAGCGTTTAAGCGTTACAGTACTTGACTCACTCTTATCTATATGTATCACGAAGCCAACATTATAACCTTGAAAAAGTCCTATATGATTCCAATTTAAAGACTTCTACATTAGTAGAAAGCCATATTATAGATAAGCTTATAGAAAATTTCAATAACATGAGGTACTTCTTTGTTGAGAATATACATATATACACTGGCGGATCTAGAATTTTCATCCAGGGGGTTCAAACTATATATGAAGTAAACGTGCGAAAATTACAGGATAACTAAAAAGAGCGGCACAATGAAGGACAACACTAATTTTTTTTGAGATAAGGGTAACTTTGTATTCACAAAAGATTCATCATCCAAGAGATGATGAATTGGAAACTTACATCCCATAGTGTGATGAGCACACCTCCATGGTGGTAATCAGATTACAAGTTTCCTAAGAAATCAACTAATTCTACCCCATCCCCCACCAAGTCTTGTTTACACCAAAAAAATAGAAGACTATTACAGTTTGTTTTAATCCTCTGAAAATTGATTTT